TGGTGTCGGATGCTGGCCAGTGCCATTCTCTCCAATGTGTCGGCGGAAACTATTGGTTACGCATACAATAAGCAGTATTCACATATATATCGTGCATATTGGGTGATGCAGTACATTGAGAAGGAGAGACTCCGGGACAGCGATATTGTTGTGGTGTACGATGGATCGGATACGCTTTTCAGTGGTGCCTCCACGGTGCAGCAGGCTGTAGACAGGTTCATTGCCACGACAGCACCAACTCCCGATGCCTTTGATGCTGGAGCTGTGCGTCGTGGTGTGGCTACAGCACCAGTATTATTTACAACTGAATTCAATTGTTTTCATCCGCAGTTGGGAATGATTTATGACTTTGAGCAACCCTCAACTAACGCGCAGTGTACTTCTATTTATAATACTGCCTGGGGTATAATGGGGTACAACAACTCTTCTCGAAATCCTTCGGAGCCTGGTAAGTCCATATTCCGATTCCTCAACTCCGGCGGCTACGTTGCTCGTGTGTGGGCGCTGAAGCGTGCATTTGCAGTGTATCGTAAGGTGTTGACGTTTAGACGTTCCAGACGACAAATATGGAGGTGTGACCAGAGTGCGTGGGGACTGGTGTACCTGTGGAGCATTACCCAGGATGCACGTATGACACCCGATGTGCGCATTCCACGTGGTCTGATAAACCTGGACTTCCACAACACCTTTTTTCTTACAGCGCCCGGTACTTTGTGGGGAAAAGACTTCGTGCCTTGGAGCTCCACAGCCATTGCCGATGTGGTGGCGGGTGGCAGGTTGCCGTTTCCTCTCTTCTTCCACATGGAGGACAAACCCAACGCCACTCCAGCCATTCTGCATTTTATTGGTCATGGCGCTGGTACCACCAAGACAACTCTGTGGATGCTGCGGAATCACACCTCTTGGTATGTGGAGACGAAGCGCTCTGCTGCTGCGTTCCTCAAGGCCAGGGATATGCTGCAGCACAGTGCATTTGTGGATATTGATGTATCGGGGACCGGGAAGGTGCGACTCCCGTACGGCAGGGTGTGTCCCATGGACGTGGTGGAGAGCTTGATTTGGCTTCCGCCCCCGTGACGTGAGGG